CTGGGGCACAGGGTGCTTCAACCCAGGGGCTACCTACTGATTAGCCCTGCATTGAAGCACCCTGTGCCCCAGCCAGCCAGGGCAGCATCTCTGTGTATGCTGCTGCACATGAAAAAACTCCACAGCAGGTTAGTACTTGTATTTACAGGTACTACCCTGCTGCAGAGCTTTTTCATTTTGTGTGCCCTAATAGGAGTGCACATGTAGACACTGAGACATTGACTGCGCAGTTCATTAGGCACCTGTGCAGTAAGTGTCTCGTGTAGATGTGCCCACTGAGATGCAAGCTAGAAGTGCAGGTCGTTCTGCTCTTCTGCGAGCTCTGCTAGAGGGTGGGTTAACCTGACCGCTCGCTATGGGCCCCATTGCGAGCCTGGCTGGAGTGTGGAATTTCATGGTCTGCAGATCAGCCTCTCCTCTTCAACTGCCGAGGCCACTGGGTTATTAATTGCATTTAAGTTATTCTTTTTTTAAAGGAACTTGAGTTTCCATCTAAGCAAATGTCTAAGTCCATAACTGAGAGCAACTGATTTCTATCAACTCCATGCATATGAGTGCACGGAAAATGAGCCTCCAACCCCCCTGACCTGGGCACTGTTATATTACAAGTAATAAATCCTAGGGAAGTAAATTAATTTCCATCAGTAAATTGGATTCTTGATGCCAATTAGAATCACAAAGCTCATTTGCATTAGCATCTCCATTAACCAATTTCAACTTGGAGCAATTAAGACCAAAGACTAAGGATCACCCAGCCTGAAACTTTATAGCTGCAGTGGCCGTGAGGCATGGGGTCAGTGAGATGAAGTTAACTTGCCTAAGTTTGCACATGGGACACTGCACAGGCTGGGATGGCCATAGATTGCTGGGTGTTTTTATGGGCAGCCGTGTACTAAATCTGCAGGAAAATGACTTTGCAAAGCAGTTTGCCAGCCGGGCGTAGCCCACCTCAGTAGCAGGGACAGGACCTGAGCAGGGCTGCTCCTAGCAACAGGTACAAGCTTCTCAGTCAGCCTAACTCCCACTGTCATAGTTTGGACCATGATCCAGGCAGATGTGGCCTTGGCAGGAGCCCACATACGAGCATCCTCAGGAGTAAAACCTGCAGAATAGATGCCGCTCCAGCCATGGTTGCTGTGGCTGGGCAAGCAGCAGATGGCAGAGCGCACACACTAAGATGGGTCTGTCTGTGGGTGGAGGGTCACTTAGCTTCTTCCTCTGCCAGCCCACCCAGGGGAGGGGGTTGCAGGGGCTGTTAGTGAGACAGCGACAAGACGGCCATCAGCCACGCACCCATGGGACTAGGCTGAGCCCAGCACGGGTTTTCCATTTTATTCATACGAACCACTGAGGAAAAGAGCTGACTGAGCGATACCATATTTCTCTGTATCGTGCCATCAGCTTACAGTCCTCTCCACATGCTTCAGCCAAGTTCTTTCTTTTTCTCCACTTTGAGGTTGGCTTGCAGAGTGCTACCCTGAAGGGGTTACTGGAGATTTAAACCAGTTGAGACCCTGCTTTCCCTAGCACCTCTCTGCTGAAGCCTGCTCCATGCTAGAGCATTTGGTTGCCAGCATATGGCTTTTCCCTGGAAGACATAAGTTCCCCCTTTCCCAGAATTGGTCTTGAGTGCTTTGGAAATGCTGAGTCTGTCTGGTGGAGGGTGTGGACATGCCTGCGTGTAACACCATCTCATGTCTTGGTGTCTCAGTACGGGGACGAGAAGGCAGATGGTTATTTTGGAAGCTTGGAGGTCTGTGCAAGACTGGGGCATCTGCTCACACTTCTCAGCTCAGGGTAGCTCCGTTTTGCAGAGCAGACCGCAGTGAGAGGAGCCAGGGCTGTTAGGATGAGCAACTGTCGGGTGCAGGTTGGCTGGTGCAAGTCTTTTGCTTCCAATTGCTGCAGTGGGAATCAAAGGTGAACAGGATCAGACCCTAGAAGCATGAATCCTGTATGTTGAGTATATTCCCCATCCCAGCCACAGAGGCAGGGATTATTTGTCAGCTTTATGCTAATACACCGCTCTCTTTTTCATTTGATTTCTTTAATGAGCACCTTGATGTGGCTGTCTGTCAGGGGAGCAGGGAGGCTTTGTCGAACCAAATGATAAAACAAGACAGACAGCTGGAGGTCGTGGGGTTTAGGCAACTCTTTAAACCTAAATGGTATAGAGTGCCCGACTGTGGAACAGAATGTGCCGCGGCTGCAGCGAAAGCAATGGGAGATGGATTACTAAAATAAACTCGCGATTAATGAGCAAAACTTGTCAGGGAAACCTATTTGTCACACTCAGAAAGCTACAATCTAGTTTTACTTGCTGCTCTTCATTGCTCTTGCATTGCTTTTTCATTTGCTGTAGGCAAAATACATTACTGCTCAATAAACAAAAAGTGGTCCTGGCGTACCTTCTTCCTCCCTCCCCCTCCCGGCTCCAAGAGCTTTGTGCAGCCTGTGATGTTCTGAGGCTTTTATTGATTGCTGGGTGGGAAATAGCGGACTTATTTCCCTCCCCCACATACCCCTCTTTTATTTCACTTTGCTTTCCTTCTCTAGACCCTGTTATCCGCATGTGGATGCGTTTGCCAGCTCTT